CAGGGAGCCCGATGCGGGGCTCGATCCCAGGACCCCGGGATCATGACCTGAGCCGAAGGCAGAGGCTTAACCATCTGAGCCACCCAGGCGCCCCAGCATAGCTATGTTCTTAAAAAGACTCTCACCTCATAATAGATGAAACAAAGGACTAAGGTTATATTTAGGAGATTATTCTTCTAGTCAAAGTTTATCCAATTAAAATTGAGTGCACTGAACCATTAGAGACTCTGAACTATAAGAAACAAACTGAGGGTTGCCGGAGGGGAGGTGGGTGGGGGGATGGCGTGATTGGGTGATGAGCATTAAGGAGGGCACTTGAAGTGTAAGCACTGGGAGTTGTATACAACTGATGAATCATTAAATTCTAACTCTGAAACTAATAATGCAGTATATGTTAATTAAATTGAATTTAAATTTAAAAAATTAAAGATATAAAAGAATTGTGCAATTAGATGAAGAAAAAAAGTTGAGTGCACTCTATCCACCAAATTCAGCTGGAATATGGATGACATCCCTTATGCAGTACATGTCCATCTATCCTCCACTCAAACCCAGTCTTCACCAAGGTATAGCACAGCTGGAATAGAAAGCACAAGTAGAAATGGGTAAGGCAAATAATTATTGGGAGGTTGCAGCATAATCTAGAATATCCTGGCAATGCTGGTATAGTTTGGGGTCAGTGTATGGATTAGTCCAATATTATATATAACTGCTGTTGCTTCTATAAACATAAACTACCTTTAAGATCAATAAATTTCATCTTTAAAATGGAAAGACTGAGGAAATTCAGCTGCTATAAATTGTTGGCTGTCTTAAAGTCATAGCTACTACTTTGTTCTAGGCACGTTATAAACTAGTCCTCCTAACAACCCTAGTGTAGTTATTAATCATCCCTTTTAGAAGATACTCCCAAGGAAAACAATCTAATTTTAACAAGAAAGATATAGATTTTAGACTGTGTATGTATGTGTCTCTGTGTATGAATACATGTACATATATATACACACATATACATAATTATATTAGAAATAAACAACAAAGTCAGGAATTCTTTTGCAAAATTTTAAAAATATGCTGGAAAAGTACCTACCTGCAAACTTTCAAAAATCAGTCCAAGATTTCTTCTCCTGCTTATAAAAATAACAACTAAAAAAATGGCACAATGTATGAAACAATTGTTTTTAAATGTCGAACAAAAGGCAGCACAGGACTTTAATCTCTGAGAGAAGAAAAAGAAACAAGGTGAACAATATGAATGCCATGGATTTCTGCCCCTAGAGAATTTCTGAACCATGACACAGGAAGGGAATTCAAACAGAACTCAATGGTCTCAGTGATTAAGGAAATAGAAATCCAAGTTTGGGGAGAATAGGGTGATTGGAATTTGTAGGACCAAATTCCAGAAATGAGAAAGCCTTGAAGAGAAAGTTCCATAAATCTGCATAAAGTTCTCTTAGATTCTTTGGCTTCATGCCAATCTGTGGATGCATAAGATAAAATCTGATAGAGCCATACAAAGAACAAATGGCAAGCCATACAAAAAACAAACAGAATAAATTTCTGAATATTGTATTCCAAAGAACTGGCAGAGCTCACAGAGAACTGGGAAACATTTGCATTTCCATCAGAGTGAGGAGATCTTATTTAATACATGGGGCATTCAAAAGAGAACATAGAAGGGTCATTGCTTAGTAGTAGGGCTAAATTAGCCCTACAGTAAAAGCTACTATAGACCTGCCCTTATAAACCTTCAAGATAAACTTCAAAAATAACAAACTAATCCACAAATAACTTAACTGCCAGAAAAAAACATTCCAAACTCTAAAATAATGAAAAACTACAATATCCAGCATCCAAACAAAAATCAATAGATATGAAAGTCAATTTCTTTCCTATGTATCAGCAATGAACAATTGAAATCTATAACTAAAAAAAGTTTTTAAATATGCCATTTAAAATAGCACACACACACCCAAAATGTATAAATTTAACAAAACACGTACAGGATCTGTATGTGGAGAACTACAAAACACTAATGAAAGAAATCAAAGAAGACCTAATTAAATGGAGATGTAGTCTACATTCAGAGATTGAAAGACTCGATATGATGAAGATGTCAATTTTTCTGAACTTGATATATGGATTCAATGCAATCCCAATCAAATCATAGCAAGCTATTTTGTAATATCAACAAATTGATTCTAAAATGTAAATGAAAAGGCAAAACACCAAAAAGAGCCAACACGATACTGAAGAAATCAAAGATGGAGGACTCATACTACTAATATTTCAAGATTTGCATAAAGCTACAGTAATCAACACGGTGTGACATGGGTAAAAGAATGGGCCCATAGATCAGTGCAAATACAGGCAACTGAATTTTAATAAAGGCACATCAAAAAAGGAAGGAAAGAATTTTCAACAAATGGTGCTGGAACAATTAGATGCCCACAAAAAAAAAAAAAAAAGAAGAAGAACCTAGACTTTACATGGCTAAACAGCCATTTCAGAGGAAAGAACAGAGGGGAAAACAGGGAAGGAAATGAAATAAAAAAATTCACTGAGTTGAAAGAAACAATTCCTGAAATTGGAAGAGCCAACTCACTGTCAAGTGTTATAAACAAAAGAGACTCAGATACATCCTGGTAAAATAATTTAAGGAAAGGTGGTAAAGCTTCCAAAGAGGGAAGAAAAAAACAGATTGCCTATCGAGGAATGGGCTTAGTTTGACAACACAATTATCCATTACAATGGGTACTACAAGGTACTGAGGCAAAGCTTTCAAATGGAAAATTAATTTGAGACTAGAATACCAAAGGAGCAGTCAAGTGTGAGGGCAAAATAAAGACATTTTCAAGGAACTAAGAATTCGGATATTTTATCTCCCATTTACTGTTTCTTCAAAATTATTTTAGGATGCACTTCAACCAAATGACTAAGATATTTAAGAAAAAGGAAGACATAATCCAAACAATGTAACTAACACAGGAGTTCAATCCAAAACAATGTAACTAACACAGGAGTTCAATTAAAAAAAAAAAAAGTCCCAGATAGCTGTGCTCTGAAAGCACATCAGTGAAAATTAGAACAAGAATCCCAATTTTTCAAGGCAAAAAAATTTTCAAAAAATGAGAAATTTGCATTCATCCAATACTGCAAGCAAGCTAGGAAATTTTGATGATCACTGTGCTGCTTCTGGTAAAAAAAAATAATTAACTAGAAATTTTTAAACAAGTTGTAGAAGAACATCACCACCCAAATACGAAGTAAAACAAACCCTGGTATCATCTTAAGTAAAATCTGATCATGATTTATAGTGTAAGAGAATTCCTTCCTTCTGTTCCACGTCACAGAATTACATTTCCTTTTTTATGAGTCGAATTGCACTACTTGGTTCTGCAATAATTATTTCCTAATTGTAACAGTAAAGAGAACGATCACTAACACTTATTTAACACTTAATAGAAGCCCTATTCTAATTCTTTTAGATTTATTAGCCAGCTTAGTTCTTTCAACAACAGCACAGTAAGGTTAAGTAACTTGCCCAAGGTCATACATGGGTTGGTGAACCCAGGCATTCTGGCTCCAGAATCCTTACTCTTAAATACTGACTATGACTCTTCTCATAATACTCTTTGTTAATTTACCATTCTTAGAACCAACCTATCAATCTAAAACAAGAAGGAACAGTAACAATTATAAAACAAAATATAAATTATATAAAACTTACCGATGTAGAGAAAATAATTAGCCAAAGTAAGGAGAAGGAGAAGAATGTGTGTCAGCTATTTTTCTTATCTTCTTATACAGGAGTAACTTCCTACATAACAGTTTTATTATAACACAGAACTTTCTACATAATAGCAAGTCAACAATTATATACATACACAATTTTTATATAAAGTAATAATATAAAAATCAGCAGGGAGGAGATAATGAACTTAAATTCCTCATATTTCACAGCAAGTATGATGGTTAAATATATGGATACACAGCTGCTGTCAGTAGATATTGTCTAATTTTAATTTTAGA